TGGAGTGGAAGGGACCCCTGGCAAGTGCTGGCATTTCGGCTCTATCCTGCTTATGCATGAGCCTCTTCGGAGCTGGTACCGAAGCTGCAGACTGCAGCTGCCGTCGGTGTCGGCACTGCTGCGAACGTGGGGGATTTCTTGGGCTGGCAAGGACTGGAGGAGGTGCGTGGCTGGGGAGATTCGTGGTGGAAGCTGCTAAACTGCTGAGCTCAGTCTGACTGACAAGCGTGCCTCCGGAACCCATTTTGGTGTCGGTGATATCCGATGGAGTGCCCACTCTGGAGTGACTGATGGAAAATGTTTCATGTGTTAATTAAAATTACACTTTAAGTGCTCTAGTACTGGTACTGGTTAGGAGTAGAGCGCCAAGTGCTTTTGTAACCATGTGAAATTATTTAAGTCTTGTATTTTCTGTATTGCTCTAACAGCTGGAGATGGAAGATGAAGACACTATCGATGTGTTTCAACAGCAGACAGGTGGAGTGTGTTAAGACGTGCCGTCCTTTTGAGAAGAGGAGTTTAAGGATCCTCGTCACACCTCACTCTCTCATCTGTCCTTGGATTTGCTATTAAATAGTAAACAAATGAACATGCCAATCACATGGGATTCTTCTAAACTTTAGAGGACATTTACCAAAATTGCTTGTTGTCTTTGACGTACTGCGTGTGCAAGTCAAAACAGTATCTGCAGGGATTAATCTATATCTTAAATTGGGTGAATTTGATTTAAGTTCAGATTAAGTAATATGCATTGTCTCTCTGCTGTTATCTTTTTTTCTTTTTTTTTTTCTTTTTTTTCTTTAAGCCTGTGGCCTAAGTATTCATCCATGTGTTAGGACATGGAGTGTTCATTCCTGGCTCTTGTTGGTCTTGCCCCTCTGTTTAATTCTAATCATGTAAATAATTCAGTATATTTTCATGCCAGTTGTGAGCGTAAAAGTTTTCTTTTAAGATACGCCTAAGAGCAGGAAAAGAGATGCCGATTTTAAGTTTTTAGCACATGTTGCAAACACAGTTACTTCAGAAGCATTAAGCCTATGACACAAGGCTGGTACATGCAGATACAATGCTTAGGATAGAGTTGAAGTTTAAAATATTGCGGATTTACATGTGCTTTGTCATATTATGATAAAGTTGTCTGAAATATACTTTTTTAATGCAGAAATGAGATTTGTCCTGAATTATTGTCAGAACTGGAGTTAGCAGAGCAGCTGGTCTAAAAACTAACGCTCGTGATGGAGCAGCAGTATTTTTTTGTTGTGCAAGCTCAGAAAAAGAGAAGGCTGTCGCTGCAGCTTCAGCTGTTTGCTGGGCGATGGGCAGAATCTGTCACCTTTCTCCTGCTCCCTTTAGTACATCTCTCTTTCTCAGTGGGTACTAGACGTGTGCGGCCTCAGTTTCTTTTTAAGACTTGTTTTTGATAGATAAACTTGATAGATGAGGGGGAAAAAAGCACTTTTAGATGTCACCAAGCTGTATGTTCAGAAGATCTGTCAAGAACCTGGTGAGCAAGGGAAGAGACACATGTACATGTGTTCAAAAAAATAGCAATCTGCTTTACTGCCTCCCAAAACTTACTGAATTTTAAATGTGTTTGCGTGATGGGTTTGAGCTCTGCGTGAAGTGAAGAGTCTCTTCCAGAGGGATTTTTACAAAGGCCACCGTGTTGTCCCTCGGTAGGTTGTCCGCTGCTGCTCCATGGGATCATTACCTGCCTTTTCTGTTTATCTGACCCGTGAGGCCACGTTCGATCACCTCCCGCTTGCTGGAAAGGCCCGTATTTTCTTTCCATTTTCTTGTACGTGGGCTGGGGCGGGACGTCGCAGGGATCTCCTTGTTTATTCACCGATTTGTACATTTATTTGTTGTCCTTCACTATTGTATACAGTAAATATAGTTTGGTACTCCGTCTCCTGCCTTACGCTTCATGCGGCCGCGCTCCCCTCGGCTTGATCTTCCCTTTCCTGGTGGGGAGGTGCATATGGCGGCGGCGCTTCCGACGCCCACCTTGGACACAGACGTGAGGCAGCAGCAGTACCTGGCCGGGTATAAATCCCCGGGGTATCCGCCGCAGCCCCTGGTTAGCAGCAAATCCCTGGGGGATTTTGCCACATGATACAACTTTTTG